CAATCTTTTCTTAATAAAATCCCTTGCACTCCATACACTTCGCCAAATATACGATGAGGTAGCTGATATGACTCCGATTGTGATGTTCTGAATCATATGTGATGTTTCTCGATCGTGATTCTAATAAGCGACTGAACTTATAACTTAAATTTCTGAAAATGACACTTAAAAGAAGTGATAAGTAGGTATAAGAGTGAAAGTTCATGCTTGATAAGAATAAGTTAATGTAATGAAAATGATAAGGATGAATAAGGTAAAGGTGGTAAAGGTTGAAGTTTGGTAAATAATGGATTTGTAGTTTATAGAAAATGAAAATGAAGTAGATAATGGTGATATTGGTGTAGATTTTGTAGGAATGAAAGGAAGGTGGATTATGACCTAGTAGCTATATGGAGCTTGGAACCAACAATATAAAATGATGGAATGAAATGGTAAGGGATGGGATGTAACCCTCTAGCTATAAAAGAACTAGAAAGCTATAAAAGAGCTAGGAAGCTATAAAAGAGCTAGGAATTTATAAACAAATGAAAGGTATGAAGACCACAAGAACAAACTTGAAGCCGATAAAGTTCTTCGAAATTACTAGATAGAAAACAACTCTCAAAGAGGAATTTTATATATCAAGATGTATGTTTCCAATGCAAGGATGAAGCCTCTTTTTATTGCTCTTAGGCTGAATATGAAAGGTTCACACAAAATAGATGAATGTTTCATCTTAATGGTAATGAATGCTCATGAATGATTTGTTTCTTCTCCTTAAGTTACTGAATATCTAAAGAGTCTAGGATGAATTTGGACACTTTTGAGGTTGAATTTAGACTTAATTTCATCCAAAAGGGGGGAGACTCTTGAACTTCCTTGTCTTTCTAACTTATGAAAGAATGGAGGATGAATGTGGACACACTTTGATGTATGTATACATCCTATGTGTCCAAGGGAAAGTGTCTTTTGAAATTCCACTACTAGAAAAAACACCTTTAATGACATGCATTGCACGTCATCTATGGGTGCAAATGACACACAAATGCGCGTCATTGAAGCCACCGTCATAAATCTCAGATGACATCCAATTGTGTGTCATAAATCTATGACGCGCATTTATGACGCGCATTGCGCGTCATTGAAGCCCCCGTAAAAAATGAAGATGACACACATTTGTGTGTCATAATTTTATGACTTACATTTACGACTTACATTGCGTGTCATTGAAGCACACGTCATTAAAAAAGATGACACATATTCGTGTGTCGTGATTGTATATCATAAATTATATATATATATATATATATATATATATATATATATATATATATATATATATTGTAGATTGACAAATAATCAAACTAAATCACATTTAATGCCTCATAATACTAAATATATATATATCATATTATATATAAGCAATCCATTTGCATACAATATCTTAACATTAAGTTATAAAAAATATTGTAATCATATGTCGATACAAAATATCACGGCATAATAAAGTTTGCCACATAAGATACCCATTCTTTGCGAATATCATCAATGTCATCATCCGTGTTCCTTCGCATCGCCAACCTAATTAAAAAATATGAAATAAATATATAATTTATACTTATTTAAAGTGAAGTATATAACTATCATCCAGATAACATTTGATCAAATTTCAAACACTACTAGAACCATTTATCATGATAATAAGGTTAGAGCAAAAGGGGGAGGGGCATTAAAATTGCAATCATACCGGAGGACCTTTCGGATCACTTAAAAGTGTGTCCCATATATGAAGGCTATCCGCAAAATTGAATTCTTGCGTCAATAGCAGAGTAATCCACCTAAATGCATAAAATTAGGGGTTGACCTGTGATATTTATTCACATCGGTTAACATTAGACTGAAATAATATCCACACCAAGAAATGACAAGGAGGAAGGGGACTGGAATTGTAGAGGAGCCGAGGCTTATGAGGGTAAATGAGACACTTGCACTTACAAGGTATTCAAATTCGGATTATAAGAAAAAAACATAATATGGCTAGTCATTGTCTAATCAAAAGCTCGAGCCACTGAGCCAATTGAATTCAAGTATCCTAATACTAGACTCAAATAGCTTGCAAGCCTAACCAAGCTTTTCTAATTCAATATTATACTATTCTAATGAATATTGAAAAATCTAAATTCTAACTCGAGCTTAAGTATAAATAATCGAGTTTGAAGTCAAAGCATCGAATTAAACTTATCCTTTACTAGACAAACAAAATTAATTGAACAAATTTGAGCAAATCAATTTTTATTTTGAATCAAACTTTAAACGTGAAACTTTATTAAGCTCAAGCCAAACTTCGAGGTCTGGAGTTTCAAGTAGAGCTCTCGAGCTTTTACAGTTCAAATTGGCTTAATTGTCCCTCTAGGTGGGGTTGTTGTAATAGGTAAGCATGACCCAAATACAGAAGATGACAAGAAATATATGAAAAGATAAAATCTAAACAATACAACAAGATGTTTGGATTTTGCAATGGTATCTTACTTTAGTTGTGATCTCTAGATGACGCCAAAGCTCTTCATCATGTTCTTTCAAAAGTTATGACAACCGGGTAATTTTGGCACGAATTCCAACATTTTTGTTGTCAAGTTACTTGTAGAAATGATCACGGAATCCACTCAGCAACTCAACAAAACAAAAGAATGAGTCAGCTTCAGCAGCGGCCTGCAAGAGTTCAATACGAAAATGTATGAATCAATTTTGGAGCATAAAAAAATTTATGACTTGTATGCATCAGTTTGTTACTCAAGACTTAAATATGATGTCATGTCACATGCGAATATGTATCTGAAATGGGTGTGTTAAATTTAAAAAATATCAAGTAGTATTTGGATACACCTTGTAGGGTGATATCTCTTAAGTTCAAACCCATGTCTCTATATGCGTTAAGTATAGGTGTTTCAAGAAGAATAAAGAGTTTAAGCAAGTGTCAACTAAGTAAATGAAAATTTTCTTCATCATGTTGCTTGAGATAAGAAAAAAGTGGGAGTTGGTGGCAATAACGTTGCAGATAGAAATGGGCAAAGACAAGTTTGACAAGAACACCAAATGATAAACAAAATGTAAATCTCAAAGTTGAAAAATGTGGAAGGTTCCGGAAGCAGAAAACACTTTTTTGGTTGCACCAACAAGTTTTGCGTGAAGAAAAACATTAAAACAAATAATACAGACTAGATAGGAAAGACAATGAGATCTTTACCGCCATTTCTTCATCGAGATCATTTCTGAATACATAAAATAGAGGTGCCAAGATTTCATTCATCCCTTGAACATATATTATACATGGATTTAACTTTGCAAATACATTTAATATGTCCTTCAATGCATCCTGAATGAGCAAGGTATAACTCAGAAATGGCTTTGTTTTTCATATCAAAACTTGAGTCCAAAGGGTTAAACAACAAAATCACAAGAAAGAAAATGCATACCCAGTTAGACTTTGCAAGCTTCAAGTTTTCGGAAAAGAAGTTCATGTCTGGATGAGTGCGTTTCACATCTCGGTCAATCTGTTCTATAATTTGCGAGTCCTTGAAATACCATCAGCCCAAAAAAAAGTCACTTGATCTTTATCTAGAACTTAAAAGGAGGACATTTCAAAAAAATTCATCTCATCAACAACATGACTAACATCGCAAGAAAACTAAGCAAACAAATGGGGAAAACCCTCTTCCTAAATGCTTGCTAAATCAGGAAAACCTTAAGGACTAGAGAATAAAATAAATGACAGATTCAATTAATAATTGAAAAATCAGAACTCTTCGTGACTACTTTCATGTATAAACTGGTATACAAATACAGTTGTAAACTAGTAATGCTCAGTTCATGTTCTCTCAACTAAGTATTCACCAAAATCTAGTATGTGTAGCATGAATTGTTTTCCCCTCATCCAACTTCTTGGATTTCTTACTATAATGCTATATAACACTGACAATTATAAATACCAAATATCAGGATTTAATAATAACAGAGATAATCAGATAACACATTATAAAACATATGATTATTCTTAGTAAATTAAAGCTAAAGATAATATATGGGTTAGATATTTTAATGCTAACAGCAGTACAATTGTGCAAGAAACTATTCAATCTTTTAATTATAATTCAGTAGATTTTACATCAAAGTGTAATACCCCTTCAATGTTTTTTCACTTTTATCCATATAGTTGTTATCCTTATTTCTTTCTTCTATCTTTAACGTCTATTAAACACTAGAAGTCAGGCTCTAATAAAAACAAATGAACTAAATTAATGGGAGAAAGCTCAACTTAGCGTTCACAGTCTTTATTTAAAGCATTTAACATAAAAGAAAACACCATAGTTGCAGTACAGTTCCAATAACTGATTTTCAAATAAGCCTAACAATATACCTGAAAGAATTGATTCCATATGATGCTTTCTCCAAGGCTTAGAGTATGCTCTCCATGAGTTACCTGTGATCTTGAAAGCAAACCACTGCTTTCAGATTATTAATGATCATTGTCACGAACCGCAGACTTCTCCAACTTCCTTTCCATTTCTGTCTGACTAGCCACAAAACATTCAAAAACCCAAAACTCTCACCGAAACAGAGAAAGAGATCGAACACACAAGATAACCTTAAAAATGCTGTTAAAATTTTACCATGCCAGTAAATAAAGAAACTTATAATATCATACTTGCCCATAGTGTATAAAATCATTATAATGTATTTATTAATACACTATTTGGTTAAAGTATCTAGACAGTCTTGGTACTATAGTCAAACTATAGGTAAAAGTGAAATTTAGCCCTTGTACAATATAATTGTGTAATTCAATCTTTGTATGGTATAAACAAGCAAAATCTATAACAATGTTCGTATTAAATCATCTAAATGTTGACATGAACTTCTAAAAGTTAACAAAGCATATGAGTCGAAAATTGACACAACCACTGTTTTATAATAGAAGAAATCCATTTGCTGCTTAAGTTAGTCTACAAGTCTGTATTTTCATATTTCAGAAGCTCATCTTAGCATATAGATGGCTTTCCATCAATGCAAATATCAATTTTACTCATACTAGAGAATTGTTTTTCGTCTTTTTTCAATAAATAGGACTGTTAATTTAATCTTTGTATGGTGTAAACAAGTTTTACTAATAACAGTGTTCATGAAAAATCGTTTAAATGTTGACAAGAACTTCTAAAATCTGACCAAGTATATGAATTCATATTTCACAATGCATGTGTTCGTTAATAGGCAAAATTATTTTGTCTCTTTAGTTCCATCTACAGGTACATATTGTCAGATTTCAGAAATCTGTGTCAACATTTAGACATTTCTCCAGTAACCATTATTGATTTTACTTGTCTGTGATGAAATCAAATATGAGATTAAATTACACGGTTTTATAACTAAATTATAGTTGTGAACTATAGGGATTCATCTATTACACTATTTTAACACGCAAAAGAAAAAGGAAACACTTACAGGATTCATCAATAGCTCTTCTTTAAACTGTTTGTACTCGGACCTTTTCTTAGCTAATTCATACTACCACTGCACACGATCTGGTGGTAGATACCCTAATAATAAATGCCAGAGCAACCAAATAACCCTACCTCAACATTAATCCAAAAAGAAAAGCAAAGCAACTTTCAATGCATGGAATTGATAATTCATTTGATTTAGAGACTAAAAATATAGAAATCTAAAAAAATTTCAAAATTTCTCAGCAACCAAACAGAAAAGACAGAGACACCACCTTCCACATTGTAGACCTAATTCCTGCACCTTCAGGAATTCCCTGCGACGTAATCTGCTGCAGTTCCCGCAAATTTACTACCTTCTTTGACAACTGACACGAAGAAGATGGGAATTAGAAAGAAAGAAAGAAGAAAAATAGTAAAAAAAAATGGAGAAACAATTAAAAACCTTGGTTAAAAGTTGAGCTTGGCGAGATATATCATCCGAAGAACCACCGGAAGAGCTAGCATTTTGGTCATTATCATTGTTATTATCATCACTATTTTTATCAACTCGATCTATGAATTCAGATTTGGGGGAAGTAGCAGTGGACTAAGGACTCGAGGCCACAGCGGGAGAAGGCACGGGAATCGGAGGCTGAACAATTGGCTCGGAGATGGCATTGGAGGAGATGGTGGGAGAAGGGGAGTGACGGTGGATGCGGTCATCGCCGCCACTGAGAGTTGTGGACCATAGCGAACGATTGAGCCAATCGAGTATTCCATCCTTCCCCATTTCAAGGTTGGACCTGAGACTTATTCTTCACATAAATATAAATAATTTTAATATTTCTTTTGAAAAGTTTGAATTCGATCAAATCGATAAATGTTTGAGGGACTGATTTCAGAGTCGAAGGATTTGATTTATTATTTATTTGGGTAAACTAGAACGGGTTTATTTTTTATTTATTTTAGGCTAAAATATATAGTTCCCGAATTAAAAGATGACTTTTAGAGATGACACACAATGAAAAGTGTACTCCGTGTGTTTGCTAAATTTTTTGGATTATAACTATTAAATATGACACACATTATTGTAAGTCATAAATCGTTCAGATTTTAAGAAACATGACATTTTTTTATGACACACATTTTTTGCAAGTCATAAATTAGCGTGTGTCATCGTTCGTGTGTGATTAAAGGTATATTTTCTTGTAGTGTTACATGATCATATCCATACCATTTATCCTTATTGAATGGCTTAATGATAAGAATAAAGTATGCCTTTAATGTATGTCTCCTTTTAGAATTTAAATGGTATCTAAAAATGATGGTAAAGAAGGTCTTCATTGCATGTTTCCCTTGTAGAATATGAATAGCCTTCTAAAATGATGATAAAGAGGGACTTAATTGCTCTTAATGTAGCCCATGAATGTATTTTGGACATCCATGCACTTGTAAGAATGGATTTGGAGAGTCCTTTCAATGTTCAAGCCTTCATTTCATGCAATTCCCGTAAAGAAATTCCAGCATGCACTATTTTTTTTATAAAATGATCATATCTCAAGCTCTCGATATCAGATTGAGGTAGAAAGATAAGAGACAGAGAAGTAATATCAAATTTGATTTCAAGACCTATACAAGTATGTATTGCATCCATAAATGTAAGACAAACTGACTGATATTCTTGCATTTGATGTGACTGTTCATATCCCTTCATGCACCTAGACACAATAGTAGTAAATGTTTATGCTTGAATAAAATTAAAAAAATTAAATATGTCATGCAAAATATAAAGAAGTTAGTTTCATTAATGAACCAATTTAAATGAATAAACTAGTTCAATTAATGGATTAGCTTTATTGAATGTTCCAACATACTTAAGTGAAGTAACTTGCTTAATGAACTACATGTTTTAATAAACTAATTATGCTAAATGAAGTATATGCTTTCAAGATCTTGTTTGTGAAATTTTCTTCCATGTTGATCGCTTGATTTGAAATTGATTCTCTTATAACATTTAGGGATATTGTGCTCAAAATGTTTGAAAACAATCACAAACAAAATCATGTCTCCTTTTGATTTATACAGTGACAACTAGATTAGTAGAAAAGAAAATCTGATTTAAAGAGATAGAGAAAACAAACCCATCAATGCTGATAAATGGAAGTTGGCACTTGATGTTCTTCATGGATAACTGCATTGGTTTATTTTTTTTATACTTCTCTATCATAAGGGTCATCAAAACATGAAGGATGCTTGAGAATCTTCATGATTTGCAATGTGTTCAAAATGTCTCTTGGAGTCTGCTTCTCATTATCTTATAGTAATGAAAAATCAAGAATAGAAAAAGAATGGTTAAAGTTGTTAGAGCAAAATGAAATCTAACTCCCACTGTCTCTCTTTTGCACAACTAATTTCTTTGTCAAACATATTTTTTTCACTCTCATCTTCTTTTTGAATTTCTTTTTCATCCTCGTATTCTTCTTTTTCAACTTGCTCGTTTTCAACTCTAACTTGTTTTTCTTCTACAACCTCACTTTTAATCTATTAACATTCAATTCCATCTTTTTGTTATTCTTCAAAATGACCTTATTTGGTTTGCACTTCCAATTGCGTTTCTTTGACAAAATTTTCAAGACACTCTTAAAGGCGAGCTAGACCTTTTTAGATTGAAAGATGCAAAAATACTAGGATCACTCCGAGATGAACTTCTAACATTTCTTATTGTTCAAAAATTGAAATCCATGTAAGATATGTAGAATTAGAAAAGGATCGAGTTTCATCTCTCCTCTTTACTTGCCTTTTGACTTTTGGTGGAGACGTTTGTGAATAAAAAGGTCTTTTGATCATTCGCTCTAATTTCTTTAAGATTGAGTTGAGATGTTTTTTGAGCAAACTCCTCATCTCTCGTGTCATGGCTTGCATTTGCAAGTTTGATGCACCACCATCATTTGGTGTGTCACATTCTCCTAAAATATGAGATTTGTCTTTAGAGTTGCAAGACATGATTAGTGATAAAAATAAAAATTAAACCTTACCAACACAAAGCCTTACCAATTCATTCTAAAGAAAAAAATCACTCCCACTCTTGTTTTACTCAGGATGGTTTTTCCTTTAATGTGTTATCTTGTCTTTTATCACTCTTGCTCGCTTTTAAAGTCCCATTGAAATTTCCACAAGGATTGACAATGTCTCTATTGGAATTCGACTAAGACTAATACAAAGTGATTAGGTAGTAGGAATAAGTGTAGGAAAAAGAGTGACTACAAGAAACAAATAAAATGTGAGAAAAATAATGAAATGACTAAAGAAATGAAGAATATTGTAACACCCATCTCCCGTATACCTTTCCATACACGAGATATGAATGTCACATCACTTTTAAAATGTTTTTTCATTTGAAAAACCATAGAATTTTGTTTCAATTTTTAACAACCTCTACGTATGATATTCATATAAGCAAAATACTAAAATTATAAATTTAAATACATTGAAAAATATTTAATTCAATTCCATTACATGCCAACTAAGTTTTCAAAAGGAATAAGATTGTCCTAACGTTACTGACGATCAACCTTAATTGATGATTATTGCTGCTACTGCTGCACTCCTTACTCAATTAATCTTTGCCTTTACCTACGCGTGAAATCAACACACGTTAAGTATTTACTTAGTGAGACATAATAATGCAAAGATATCAAACTTATACATAAATATCTTATGAATACTGATTGACGCTTTAAATTGCAGAATCCATAAGGACCAGATAAGCCCTTCTCAGTTACACCATAATTCTTTCAATAAGTCATCTAAATTATTCTTAGTAGGCCCAGCCTATCTATCCTCCTATATATATTTTTCCACAATTATGCTTTATTTGCACGGTGTACGTTAAATTAGAAAGTACTATACATGTATTGCACCAAAGTGCCATTTGATCAATTATCTTTTATAATCATTATGGGCCGCACCTTAACTGTTGTTATTACTCCATTTTGTATTCTCATTTGGGCATCCTTTCATACCCATTATGTACTGTTTACTTTTTCTTTTCCTTTATGATATCCATTCATACCAATTATGCATTGTTGAACATTTTATATCTATATGGCATCCTTTCATACCACTTATGTATCGTTTATATCCAAATGCATTATAATTCCTTTAGTATTTTACCCAAAGTGCTGAAAACATTTTGATATTTAGATATAACAAATTAAGTTAAATGAATTTTAAGATTTTCCAAAAAGATTTTCTAAGTATATTCGATATAATTATTCGAATATCAAAATATTACTCCAAATCTTTCAAATGTCATTTTTAATCCTTACTCAAGTGTAAAATTAAGTTTCAATCTTAAAATAATTTCAAAACGATTTTACAAAATATTTCGAACCATTTCAAAGCCAAAAATTTCAGATTGCTCAGAGGGAACCGATTCTCCCCCAAGGGGGTACCGATTCCCCCCTGAATGGTTTGACTCTGAGAATTCCAGTATGCTCGGAGGGAACCGATTCCCCCCAGGGGGTACCGATTCCCCCCACTGTTCAACGGTTGAAATATTTGAATTTTACACTTAGGGAACCGATTTCCCCTATGGGGTTCTGATTCCCCCCACGCTCCAAGTTGTTTTATTAATTGATTTCACACTAAAACGGCTATATTATCTTCATTAATGATC